GTATTTTGTTTCTTAATGTCTTACAGACTTAAACTGACATTCTTTGTTTTTTTTTAAAAAAAAATACAAATATCATATTTTGTTACTTTGCCTTGAATTGAAATGTAAGGATAAAATTTTCTAGTAGAAATATTTTTGGCTATATCACTCAAGTTCTGAGAGTTTTTGCTCCAGATCTTCTTCTTACATTATAGATTTTGCCCTTAGACTTTACATTATATTTCATTCGGTCACTGATTAAAGAGCTGCTAAATATCATGACGATTGTACTAACTCAAAATAAATAAAATGCAATTCCTGACTTTATGATAATCACACCTTAGTATGGAGATAGTATGCCTGTTTAGATTTTTGCTACTAGAGGTTTTGCTACTAAAAAAAAGGCCAAGACAATGAAAGTAACTTCTGTCACTTCACGATGACATATTGTCATTTTAAAAATATTACCTTTAAATTAGTGGTGAGTTTAACACACAGATAAGGCAATAAGGCTTGGCAAACATGTTTATCCAGCAACAGTTTTATTTTAAGCACTAAACATACATAAGCAATTAACCTTCAGCAACACAGGTATAAGCTAAAAATGCTGATTAAGTATTAACTAATTATCATTCCCAACTTCAAAAGTCAGCTGGCATCTGGTCTTTAACTGTGATAAACATTCACTAACTCATCACGTTATTTACACATAAATGAAGAGAAATATTAACTGGATGGCTAAAAATGAAGAATATTACAAACAAATACCACCATTAAAAACACATGACTTGCTCTGTTTTGAAAGCCCAAGTGTCCTACAAATGTCACTTTACTTGGAAAAATATTTTTGAGAATAATTGTCTCTTATTCTCTCATAAATTCAATCTATTATAATAAAGAAAAAACATAAATCATAAAGGCATCAGCATTTTATAATTAGAATGCCCAGATCTGCATACCGTTAAGTGTCTTGGCTGTTTGCCTGCTTTACTTAAAACCAGAGAGAGGTATAATCCCAATAACTAAGTCTTCTAGCAGCTGTTCTAAGTGACAAGAGAAATGCCTCATCTAGCAGCTACCTCCAAATGTGTGATACATGCACCGTGGTGACTGGAAGTTAGCAATCCTGGTGTGTTTGCTCGCTTTTAGTATTAAATATTTAATGGCATATTTTTCCTTAATGGAACACAGGCACATCTGATCAGTCACTGAGATCATTTAGTAATGCAGTCAAAGTTATCATACTGCCATTTCACATCAACTTTGTAATTAGATAATTCATCACTTTATTAATTCAAAAGATTGCTTTCTTTACTACATTACAGCATGCTACGGCAGTGAAACCCAACTGAGCTGATCAACAAACAGACTCTAATACTTGGTCCTATATGAACTTGAGACCCTCAGTAGCTACCACAAACACATACTCCTGACCTTTCAGGACACAAGAGGTAATATTTTTTTCCACAAATTAGCCTCATAACACTGAAGTAACAAAGCACCAGTATATCCAAAATGAGAGGGCAAACAGAACTGAAAATTTAAGATGTAAAGCAACATAGATCATGAACAATTTTTTCTTGCTTTTTACTGAGGCATATCATTTTTCACTGGGTAAAAAGGATAAAAGGGAACTATTTAGTAATTTTCCTCCATACTGATTCATACACTTTATTAAAATTATGAGGTTATGGCAGAATATCACATAGATTATTTATTACTATTCTAAGTCTAATGGCAAGTACTAGCCAAATGCAAGTTACATAATCTTGAATGTAACATCATTGTTTTCTTACATCTTATTTCTAACATCTCAATCAAAAATATTAAATTAGAATTTCTTCTTACATTATGAATTAGCACGATTCTTGTTTTACACATTCTTCACCAATAAAAAAGAATTCTCAAATAAAAAAGAATTTACTCAGAATGAAACTGAATGTAAAAATTAGGTACAAAAAACTGCCTTCTAAAATTCTCACTTTCAAATCAACACAACCACAGTCTATGCTGTGAAACTAGCTGCCACTACTAGCATTCAAAATTAGAGTTTATAAACGCAAGTTCTGGGGGTCACATATGTATCCTAAAGAATAAAAAAAAACATACAACCACTTGTTTTGTTTGAAAGAAAAGTTGGGAATCTTTTCAAACAGATGTGGAATTCATAATCAAAAAATTCTGCGGCAGTTGTACAATATTACAAAATAAAAAGTACTTTGCAGAGCTCTGGAAACACTAACAATGGCATATGCTTTGTGGTCAGAAAGGTCACTTATATTCTTCTTGCTTCCAATTTATTCTCTGTCTTTGAGAATTTTTTAGACAACTAGTCCATTTTCTACTTTATTGTTTAGCTCTTATCATATTTCTAATCAGTTTGCCAAATGCATTTTGAGAAAAGGAAATTTTAAGTCCCCCCAAAATTAAGAGTATTTTTCTAGAACCTGTATAGTAATCTTCAAAAAATCTATTACATGTGCAGAAAACAAGCTCAAAACCAGGTCTACTGACATTAAGTTTAGGCTGTGACTAAACATTACCAATAATTAGCAATGTATATTTTGAGGGACAGAATTGAGAACTACCATACATTCCATGTCATTTTAGTGAATTATAACATGACAACAAAAGGACTCTTATATTTTAATTCCATCCTTTGAAAATACATGTGTGAGAAACATTTCATTCACAATAGGAAGCAACTACTATAATTCCTACACAAAAGCCCAAGAACGACTTGGAAATCATGGAGCTGCTATGAATGCAGGGAATAGTAAATGATATCTGTATAGCTATGGGCTGAAACCAAGCCAGTTGTAGCAACATTTTTTCTCAACAAGGTAGGTAATTCTCAGCATGCTAAGAGACACCAAAACTGGGCGCAAGTGTGAGCAACCATCTGACTGGTTTACACAAGTGCAGATGGCACTCTCGTGTCCAATAGCACAGAGAGACATAAAACACTATATTCAGACACAAACAAAGCTGTGAGGTGGTGGCAGCAATAGTGGAAATTAATAATGTGTGTTACTCTAAGAACACACTCACTTTTACTGTGAAGTAGATATTAGTATTCCTGGTGAGGGAATGAAGAAATTGAGTTTAAGAGAATTTCATTTATTAGCTGAGGAAGCAACTTGACCATCATCCTATTCAACCTCCCGTTTAAAATGTGACCTCACTTTAATCATAATTTTCTCACCTTTTAAAGTTTATATTGGAAGGAGCAAGAGGATGCACATTTTCTATATTTCAAGCAAATGTATATAACCGAGGCAGTAGATAGAAACACAGCAGTTGTCATGTCCAGATAAATCCACTTCAAACCTAATTTTGTTTGAAGGGAGAAGTGGAAAGGAAAAAAAAAGCATGGGGTAGTAAGGAGAGGAGCTTGTAAAAATGGAGATAATAATTTTTTCTTCCTTAAAAAATATGACAAAAGCCAGCAGACAAATTTGGTCTCATTGTTCATGAACATATAAATAATGGCATGTCTCTTGTGCCATCACTAACAAATACCTTCAGTTCCTCTCATTCTCTTTGGCTACCTTCTCTATAGCCAGTAGCAGCCACCACTTTATTTGCACCTTATATTTTTATTTCCATCCATCAGTACCCACCAGTAACAAATGATGAAAAATTTAAAAATTTTGCATAGCTCTATTTGCAAATCACTCCCGTTTCTTCATCCATCCAGATCATCACCCTGCAGCGCCCTCTATAGGAATTCTAGAAGTACCACTATCTTCATTAGTGTTCTGTTAGCACAATGTAAAACATTTTACACATCAAGCTTTTATTCAAATTCTTATTATAATCACTAAATATAAGAAACATATTGCGCTTGTAGCTACTTTTTCAAATCTTCTCCAGAGGAGGCGAGACCAATGCAGTTTCGCAGCTCAGGGGGTTAGATGAGTCAGCACTCTCTCATCTTACCAGCATTTCTACAGCATTGTCTACAACTATTGCCCAACACATTTCCTCTTCTGAAATTCATGCCATTAATTTCTATGTCCTATGTGAAATCCTCTTTGATACCCTCCCTTTGAAAAATTTCTCTTTTCTATTCCTCATGGTACTTAATTTTTATAGCCAGGCAACAAATTCAAAAGTGGGGAAGATATGCTTATACAACAAATTCCTATAATTAAACTCCGGTTGTCTATTACTATTCATGTGTTTTTAGTGGGAGTAAAGAGTAGGAGACTAATACTAGTGCTAAGAAAGTGGAGGAAGTGAGCGAAATGTGAGTGAAAAAATGACTATAATCATTTTTAAAAAGACCACTTCAGGAAGTCACTATGAAGATCACAATGAAATATTAAAATAAACTTGTTTTTGATACCTTCTAAAATGAGGGTGATGTAAGACATTTACATGGGTTTTAAGGCAATTATTAATACTTTAAAATCAAAGATAGTTATATTTTCACTTAACTTAGAATTTACTTTAAAATTACTTAGAATTTATCAAGAAATAGAGTCAAATAAATTTTTCTCTTCAAAGACAGGCTCTATCACTAAAAAATCACCACCACACAAAATGAGTGCAATGGCAAACTTTAAACCTTTAGTAGGAAAGAACAGAACATGCTATTTTCTTCAGAGAAAATAAAACATACCTTTCTTTTGAGAATAATCTTTGAAAGCTGACAATTATACCACACCCATTAATAAAAATATTGATTAAAAAAAAAACATGAAAATACCCTTTTCAATAGAAGCAATACATTTTCTAATTCTCTATTCATTAAGGTAGGAATGATATAAGTAGGAAGGGTGGGCCTCTCCTGGTGGCGCAACGGTTGAGCGCTGGGCTGCGGGGCTGCCTGCAGCCTCTGCAGCGCTGGTTCGTTCCCCAGGCACCGGCGAGGGTCCCACAAAAAAATAAATAAATAAATTTAAAAAAATAATAAAAAATAAGTAGGAAGGGTCCTAAATTTTCATGGATCAACAATAATATGGAATAAAGATTTGATTTATAACATTAGTAAAGAAACCAAACTCAACACTTACTTTAGCAAAGGCTTCAAAAATGTCAAAGGAAGGCGGCAGCTGAGAAGCATCCTGTATTTCTTCTCTCATGAAATGCTGAAATGTCATTGCCAGTTGCCGGAGGCCCTCTTTCTTATCCTCGGTCAGTTTGTTAATATCTTTTTAAAAAAATAATAAATGGTACAATCAAAAATGAACCTTTAATGGATAATTTTCAGGTGCTCACTGATAACTGTTAAATCAGATATTCCCTGCCTGAGATTCCATTCTGACAGGGAGCAAGTATGTATCTTTTTATTTTCTGAAAACTACATATAATGATATATACGTTATTAATTAAACTCTGCCAAACTTCATGTATAAGCTCAAACACCTATCAAAACAAAATAAATACACATACAAATGAATAAGTATTAAAACCAAAATCAGTAAAGATGTGTGTTATAGATTTTCTACCTCACCCTCTATGCATGTTCAAACCATCATAAATTCTTATGAATGAATTAAAACAGACTTTTCCATGAAACAATTTATAACAAGGTTATGACTACAGAACAATAAAATCTCAAAGAAAGAAAAACAGAAAGTGAGAACTAAAAGGTTTGGCTAAAATTCAAATAAGTAAAATGTGTCCTACAGAAAGTACATAAAGAAGAAAACATGGATCAACAAAAAAAATCTCAAATTATTTCCAGTTTGGATTGGATAAGCACATTACAGTGCTGTGTTCAAACAGAAGGAGAAGGTTCCAAAATCAATACTACCCCTCTAAAAACTCACTTTAATTTATATCACAAAGGGATGTTAAGGCTAAGAGTGCAGAATTCAATTAATAATGTTTGAGAGCATTTAACTTAAGACAGCATGTCTGACACTGCTACTGAGCAGGGCTAATGTTAATAATAAAACTCACAGAAAGAGATGTTAATTACCTACAGTAATATACTAAGAAAAAATGACTAATTAGTTCTGTATTACAACTAGAAACTATGTATCAGGTTGAACTATAATGTAACTGTTGCTGGTGTCAGGTCTACATATTTTCTTTAAATTATTTGTTCAACAGAACAATTAAGGCAATGATTTCTTAAATAATAATTCATTATCATTGGCACTTAGGAGCCTATAACCATAAATCTGTACAAGATTTTCTTCTTGTCTCCAACCTGAAACATTAAATTAAGTAGCAAATGCAGTGTAGGAGCTGGTTTTGGGTTGAAGCCATTTATACCCTCAATAAAGAAAAAAAAGCCCAACACTGACTAAACATTCAGATCTGGAAAGTTTTCAGTCTTCTTAAGTAGCCTGGTCACTGCCTTGGTAGCTTAGGGGAACATCCAGTGCAGTCAGGGGGCCTATCAACTGTACTTCCTACTTTCCTTAATATTTAAAGGACCGGGGCTTCCCTGGTGGCACAAGGGGTTAAGCACCGCACTATGAAGCAATCCAAAACCTATGCAGCATGAGTTCGATCCCCGGCCTGCCAGGGAGAAAGCCACATGGAGAGGCAGACCTCTCCTGTCTCGCCCGCTGCTCCCCTCAGCAGTGTATGTCAGTCAGTCTGCCTGTCCTGTTCCCCAGTCTGTCTCTGGTGGATCCTCTCACCTCCCACCCCGCCCCCCGCATCTCGGGCCTGTACCACAGCTCTTGTATGCATAAATAAATAAATCTTTAAAAAAAAAAATGCTTAAAGGACCAGTGAACCTAAAGGTTCACAGGAAGCACCCTGAAATCACTTCCTTGACATTCAAAAAAAAGGGGGAAGGGCAAAGAAAGGGAGATGGGATGGAGAAACACAAGAAAAGTTACTCTGTCAACTGGACTTCTCCCTGCCTGTCTGACAAACCTTTATGACGCTTTATAAGCTCGTATATGACAAAGCTACCCTGAGAAAAGTTCATGTGTCAGTCATATGTAAAACCATGAAAAGTTGTATTAGATTTGCCTTGACTAATAAAGAAGTAGAAAACACAGCTAAAAATAAAACATTTTACCTGCTTAGCAAATAAATGGCAGAAATATTTTTCAGATGCTGTTAGAAAATCACTTACTTGATTCCAGATCATAAAACGAGTAAAGTTTCTCCGATTCAGAGGGTGTTCCTTCCATCTATGAAGTACAGGGGAAAACACCAAAAATAATATTTGAGTGTTTTTAGGTATTTAAATAGATATTTAAATAGAATTCTACAAAAAGGTAATTTTCTATATGACCTTCTCAGAGTGAATAATTTAATCACTAGCAATTTTATTTTTATGTATTTGTTTAGTGCCTAGCCTAGCTATAGAAAATTTGGATTTTTTATTTGTATTTTTGTTTGTTTTATTGATGCAGCATTGCTTAACTATATATGGTTTAGGGGAATAGGTTCACACCTCCTCAGGTATGTCACCATATCACACCCACCACCAAAGCACCTGTAGTCCTTCAACACAGACCACTGAGCCCTCCCCCCACTTTATTCCCATCCCAGAGCCCAGTCAGTAACAATTTTAAAATAAAATCAAACTTATAACTAAACTCAACAGTTCAATTTCAAAAAAAAAAAACTTTTTTATAAAAGTTTTCATTTTTCCCTCAGTTCTACCAACAAACTTGTATCACTGAAAAAATTGTATTATTTGTTATTAAAATTAATAATTTATTATAAACTGTGGAATCTTGGGGAAGGTACTTAAGCTTGAGTCCAGAGAAATCAATCTCTTATCTAAAACATAGGAGGAGGAGTAGCAACTGATCTATTGGACTATTCGTCAGTTTAAATGAGTTATATTATGTACAGAAATTAGCAGAAGGACCTCAAAGACATCTTTACAGACACATCACCCAAAGCAGTGATAGTGAAGGCAAAGATAAACAGCTGGGACTACATCAAATTAAAGAACTTCTGCACAGCAAAAGAGACAATAACCAAAACAAAGAGAAATCCCACCGACTAGGAGAAAATTTTTGCACGCAACACTAATGATAAAGGACTGATCACAAAAATCTACAAAGAGCTGATGAGACTCAACAAAAACAAAGAAAATAATCCAGTCAAAAATGGGCAGAAGAGGGCCTCCCTGGTGGCGCAGCGGTTGAGCACTGGGTTATGAAGCTGCCCGCAGCCTCTGCAACGCCAGTTTGATCCCTGGCTGCTCCCAGGCCACCGGAGGAGCGTCCCACATGGCGCGCAGACCTCTCCTGCCGCCCACTGCTTCCCTCAGCAGTGTACTTCAGTCCTTCTACCTGCTCTGCTCCCCGCTCTGGCTCTGGTGAATTCTCTCAACCTCCCGTGCTTCTGACTGTACCCAGTGCTTGTATAAAAAAATAAATAAATAAATAAATCTTTAAAAAAAAAAAACTTCTCCAAAGAGGAAATGCAAATGGCCAACAGGCATATGAAAAAATGTTCAACATCACTTGTAATCAGGGAAATGCAAATCAAAACTACAAGGAAATACCATCTTACACTGGTGGGAATGGCACATACTAAAAAAACTAGTAACAACAAATGTTGGCGAGGTTGTGGAGAAAAAGGAACTCTCCTGCACTGCTGGTGGGAGTGCAAACTGGTCCAACCACTATGGAGAGCTGTGTGGAGATTTCTTGACCCACTAAACATAGAGCTTCCATATGATCCAGCAATTCCACTCCTAGGTATTTACCCAAAGGACACAGAAACAGTAATTCCAAAGGGCACCTGCACCCCTATGTTTATAGCAGCACTATTTGCAATAGCTAAGCTATGAAAACAACCCAAATGCCCAAAAATAGATGACTGGATCAAGAAGATGTGGTACATATACACAATGCAATATTACTCAGCAATCAACAAAGATAAACACATGCAGTTTGCAGCAACATGGATGGAGCTAGAAAGGGATCATGCTCAGTGAAATAAGTCAGAAAGAAAAAGAAAAATACCGGATGCTCTCACTCACAGCAGGAATTTAGAAAACCTAAATAAGGGACCAGGAAAACGACTAATTAATACAAAGTAAAAATCAAAATCAACAAGCAACTATAAACCAGAGACACACTACAGGGTTGGGGGGGGGGTGTGTGGGGAGAGGAAGGATTAGGGTCAAAATAAGGGGGGGAGTGCAATTGTACGGGGAATATAACCAAAATGAAAATCCATTCATTGTGCAAAAATGAAAAATGATGTAAGAATTATATAAAATAAAATATTAAATAAAAAGAAATTAGCAGAAGGCCTAGAAATAGTAAATGCTCAATAGAAGGGAGTTATTATTATAATCCTCATTCTGTATTAGATTCTGATTCAGTAGGTCAGAGGTGGGGACAGAACTAGCACCTCTGATGACCCTGAAGCAACCTATTTCTGCTCTACAAGTGGTTCTCTATATTTTCAGTATTAATAAGTAAAAGAAGAAAGCCCAGAATCAAGTATAATAGTAACTATACTTTTAACATTCAGGTAATTAAGTAAATGCATATTGACAAGGTTGATCTAAATGTATTAATGTTTGAAATAAATTTGCATTTTCAAGTTCAATACAATACATGCATTTTAAAATAGCAATAAACATAATGACAGATGTTAGTCTTTGGACTAAACAAATAACAAATAATACCCTTCTGGTATTCCAAATCCACTGGTATTAATAAAATATGATTGACATATAATGTTGTATTAGTTTTAGGTGTATAACCATAGTTTTATATTCTGAAAGTTCTCCATTTAAATTTATAGTTAAAAAAAAAGTTAATAAACACAGGACAAGACAGACTGGAGTTTGAGATAATTTGAGAAACAGATAATCATGCAAAAGTCTGGCAAAAAAAAATTTTTGAAAGGTGTCACCAGATGGATTTCACAGAATCTACTAGATATATTGGCAGAGAAGGGAAAAGGACTAAAGAAACGATTTCAATGAATCTTAGTTATAAAAAAAAGAAAAACGATAAGTTATCTTCAATGTGAGATCAATTATCAACTAATTAAAATCTCATTTGAAGAGGTAACCAAAAATTATATACTTGTCCAGTGCATTTCTACTGTGTGTCACAGTAGAAAATAAATGCAATGTAACAAAGATTACTAACATCCCATACCCCAAATATAGGCCTGACATCTCTACACCCAAGAAATCATGGGGTACTCAAAGGGGGACTATGCACTTCACCACTGCCACTGCTGCTGTGCTTAAAA